GAATTCCCACATAATTTTGTACATACCTCTCTTGATACTTACATGGTGATCATAGTTTGCTAGTGTTTTGGTATGAGATCACTTTATTGCAGATACTTGTAAAGATGACTGTTCCCTTCACCGGAGTCTCTGCTTCCTGTAGACAGAAACATGTTCTTAATCATTAAAAACAATCTCTAGGCCTAGTAGAGTACCTGGAATGCAGAAGGTAGTGAAACATCTTTTGAATAATTAGTGAATGAGAGAATTGGTGAGTGAATGTATGATTAACACGTTTAGAGCGTTGTGTTCTGTCCTTGGTAGAGGCTTGGGGAAGTTCTCACAAAATGGGAAGAAGCTAGAGAAAAGAGGCCAGGATATTATACTATTTCATATGAAGTATGGTTGAAGTTTCTGGGAATGTTTTTTCCGCTTGGAAGAAAGACACCGTCGGATGGAGGAATCATGATCATCTTGCTGGTGTTTCCTAGTTGTCCCAAAGAGATCTGATCTCTTTCCTTTGAATAACCATGACATTTCATGTTTCTCTTGGAAATGATGATGATGACAATAATAATAGTAATAGTAGTGATAGTATTAATAGCAGAAGCAGCTGTCCTTTACATATTTATCTGCATGCTTGCTCTTTCTCTGTGTGTGTGTGTGTGTGTGTGTATTCACACATTGCCGCCAGTTCTTTTTTTCAACAGCTATGTAATTAGACATTAGTATACCCAGATTGCAAACAAGGAAGCTGAGGCTTGATGAGGTTAAGTAACTTCCCTAAGGTCATAGCTACTCATAGCTATGTCTTAAGGCTAGAATTCTTACCCAACTCTGTTTCCAAATCTGATGCTTCTGTATGCTCTTTGTATATTTTTCTTTTTATATTATAGCAGTTTGTGAATCTGTCTTATTAAACTGTAACCTCCTTCAGAGCAAACAATTTGTCTTATTAATATTTAAACTTCGTATAATGCCTTCTTCTAATAAGAATTTCCCAAATAGTAAGTTTAAGCATTTGAACGGAAGTCTTAGAAAAAAAAGAAATAGACCTTTCTTTGTTATCCCATAAGGCAAAATTTGGTTTATCAGGCAAATTTAAAGAAGATAAATTGCAGTTGTATGTAATGATGTTCTGACAACCACAGTTGCCCAGTTCTGGAACGGCATGTTTTGTTAAATTGGAAACTTCCCGGCAAAGCTAGAGTAGTGCCTGGTAGGGAAGGTTGTTTTAGAAGGAAGCCTTCTTGAGAGGAGACAGCCGACCATGGAACTTCTTCATCTCTGAGTCTAGGAAATTGTTGGATCATAAAGGGTTTGCTAGTGTTTTTGTATCAGATTATGTAGTACTTTCTTTGCCCTTTAATTAACTTCAGTATTACAAATTATTCCAAGTGCTCAATGTCTGTAACACGGTCCTTCTGAGTTATAAAGCAGAAGTAAGATGGAGGGGACATTAAAAAAATAGGGTATAAAGGGATATGGCTTTTAGATCAGCCTTTCTTCCTATATGATTTAAGCACGTGGAGTGTACTTGGAGCCTGTGTTTCTTAATTAGGATGATAGGAAACAACATGGCATTTCTCAGTGACTAGGGATTTCTGAATTTATTTTATTTTATAAATGTATTTATTTGTTTATTTTTGTCTGTGTTGCTTCTTCATTGCTACGCGCGGGCTTTCTCTAGTTGCGGCGAGTGGGGGCTACTCTTTGTTGCGGTGTGTGGGCCTCTCACTGTGGTGGCTTCTCTTGTTGCGGAGCATGGGCTCTAGAACGCAGCCTCAGTAGTTGTGGCGCACGGGCTTAGCTGCTCCGCAGCATGTGGGATCTTCCTGGATCAGGGCTCGAACCCGTGTCCCCCGCATTGGCAGGTGGATTCTTAACCACCGTGCCACCAAGGAAGCCCCGGGATTTCTGAATTTAAAATAAAATTTTCATGACAGTCTTCTTTAAAAGCTTTTCTTAAAAGAAAGGTTTATTGAGTTGTAATTCTCATACCATACAGCTCATCCACTCACAGTGTCAATTTAGTGTTTTTTTATTATATTTAATTTTAGAACAGTATCTTGCCTAAAGCCCCAGATAGAACCTCCGGTGCATTGTGTTTTTGTTTTGTTTTTTCCCAGTACAATGTTAAATCCCCATGGTGTCTTCCACATAATGGAAGAAGAGGACCCAGACTTTTAAGCATTTAGAAAAGGGGAAAACAGAAAACAGCAGAGGCTTCATAGAAAAGGAATCCAAGTGAATGCCGCTACGTAGAAGGGTGGGCTGAGGACGTGCTTAGCACAGATGTGATGTTGAGCCTGGCTTTGAAGGAGGGGTCAGACACAACTTGGCAGAATGGGATGGTAATAACAAGAGAGACGAATGATGAGTGCCCGGTGATTTGCAGCTAGAGAGGATTGAGGTTTGGGAGAGGCAGAGAGACAAGTGATAGCCTGCCTGACCGGGAATATCTGAGTTAGAACATCATGATGCACAGGGCTGTTAGGTCGGAGTGACAATCAGTAAACCCTTTGAAACAACATGTAATGTAGCTTAGATGAGCTCAGCAAGTCTACGAAGCCTTAGTGCGTTTGTGCAGCGACTTTCGAAGGAAGGAAGCTGGCAACCGTGGACAAACCCAGTCTCAAAATTTGTCTAAACTTCTGTCTTCCCAGTTTTGAATTTTATTTTTAAGTGAAAACCAGCTTCCCATCGATACCCCCAATGCATTTCTTTAAAACGTATTTTACTCATGCTTGTATATTTTAAATATACCTGGAGGCTGTAGCTCTTCTGTAATCTTAATGGCAGTCTGCTCAGTTTTGCTCTATTAGGGTTTTGGTTTCATAAAGCGTTTCATAATTTTATCGCAACTTGCCAAAGAATGACTTGATGGTTGGTTTTTCACCTGCACGGTGAGCCATCTGGTGCTAAAGATCATTAATATTAATTGTTATCTTTCCCCAGTCAGCCAGACTTGAAAGCATCTGCCCCATTAGAAAGAGAGGCACAGAATCAATCTGCCATGTGAAGCGAGAGGCTCTGCAAAGAAAACTTTCACTGTAGAGCATTTGACATTTGACTTTTCAACGTTTAAATGTTTAAAGGTGGTGCATATTTCCTAATTTTTAAACATGTACTGTGCTTGGATTGAAAGTCAAAAATGTACTTGCATACTTTATTATTTTTACCCTCACTGAGAGTATTTTTACTCTCCCTGGCTAGCGCTTCTTTACAATTACTAGCTGCGTTTGACTTCTGGGCAGGTATAAGAGGTCTTCTCCAAAGTTCCCTCATTTATAAACTCGTGCATAATAGAATCGAGCTCCTGAAGTGATGGGGAAGATTGCATGGTGCCCCCGGGATGAGCCGTTGATGCTCAGCCTCAGCGCCACACCCACTCCCACGTGGGAGCCAACTTTTCCCAGCAATGCAGTAGCTCACACACAACTCATTGAGATTTTAATTAACGTCAAAATAAATCAGCAAATTTGTGAATTGGCTAGCCTTGGAAATTTGTTTTCTATGCTGGTGAAGCCAGAACTTATAAACGACAACCCCCCAAATGTAATGAGGTTTCATTTGCTTACGTTCTCTGAGTTTTACATTGCCTTTCTCAGAGGAATTGAGAGCCCCCGTTGGATACAAGATCTGTTTACTTTTTTCAGCTGTTTAGGAAACTCCAGCAGGAATAGCCATCATTTGGCAGATGGTGAGTGAGGCAGATGGGGGAAGTGGCTGGTTAAGCTGTATCATGATGTAGGCCATAAATGCAGAGAGAGAGAGAGAGTTGTAAAAAGAAAAAAAAGGTTGTTTATACTTCTGTTGAGACTTCTACTTTTTAAACCGTGTTCTTAAGTAACCTTCATTAGATAAGGTAACCTATTCGTCCATAAGGGAATATTTGAGAATGAAATCGAGTGGCCGTAAGGGCTCCCTATAGATGACTTCTTCTTAACTGGAAATAACTATAGAGAATTGCCTTTAATTTGGGGTCTCCTGCTTCGATATTAGACGTATCATTGCAGAAGCTGTTGTGAAGGAGAAGCAGTACTTTCAGCCGACCGTATGTCTAACGAGGGAACCCTTAGTCTCTTTTTAAAAACGATATTAAGTTATGAAAGAGTTGATTTTTCTCTTTGCATTTAGAATGCCTTTTATGTTTTTCACCGTGCATATAAATTTTGTTTTGAAATGGCTAACCCACTTAATGTTTCTGGTTCCCAAAGACAATGATTTTATAATCACAGTTTTCTGGGTTTGGCTGAGTTGTAGCTACTTAGTTGTATCTTGTTTTGTTTTGGGGGGTGTGCATGTGTGAGAGAGAGGAAAAGTTGAAAAGACTACCCTCCATGAAGGTAGATGTGATCTTAATCCTGTGGTTTGGAGCACAGGTGACAGGGCCTAGAAGCCTCAGGAGGAAATATTTTAGCTACAGCTCTTGTAGTCCAACATCAGGTTATTGGAAAAGACTCCGAGAACATCTACCAGTGTTTATGAAATAACGGGATTGCAATGTGAAGCTAGAGATATTCTTTTAAAAAAATGACCATTTTGTTTTGTGATCGCTGTGTGCAAAGCATGATGATGTGTGTTGTAGGTAGGGGAAAGGAAGAGAGTAGTGGGGGTCTCAGCATGAGAAAAGGAGTCTGCATAGAAACTTAGGGCAGTTAGGGAATAAAGTGAACAGTGGCTAGAAGAGTGAGGGCTGCAAGCACGTTCTGTGTATTTTAGAGAGGAATTTCATGATGAGGCCATGCTGTGTATGACGTAAGGCCTTCTGCAGCTTAGTGTAAAAACATTTGGAGGTAATGGTCATTTCCCCACCGAAGTGTTTTTTTCTTTTTGTCTCATTTTGTTACTAAAGTTTTAGATTCTCTTCAGCTGGCCCTTCTATTCTATCACTGTTTGGACTTTACCTAATCTTTACCATGTCAATTTAACATGTTTGTTATTGGAAGTTTAAAGCAAATAAAGCATGTTATGTGACTTGCAAGCTTTTTTTTTTTTTTTTTTCCCTCTCTCTCTAGACACAGATAATGTACAAGTGGATAGAGCCCAAAATCTGCCGGGAGGATCTCACAGATGCTATTAGGTTGCCCCCTTCTGGAGAGAAGAAGGATTGTCCACCTTGCAACCCTGGATTTTATAACAATGGATCTTCTTCTTGCCATCCCTGCTCTCCTGGAACGTTTTCGGATGGAACAAAGGGTACGTGATATCAGCTGGTTCAAGAGTTGGACCTTGAGTGAAATAAACTTGTTGGACCACATTGACATTGTCCTGAATTGTTCTTATGGAATTTTTTTTTTTTTTTTTTTTTTTTGCGGTACGCGGGCCTCTCACTGCTGTGGCCTCTCCCGTTGCGGAGCACAGGCTCCGGACGCGCAGGCTCAGCGGCCATGGCTCACGGGCCCAGCCGCTCCGTGGCATGTGGGATCTTCCCGGACCGGGACACGAACCCGTGTCCCCTGCATCGGCAGGCGGACTCTCAACCATTGCGCGACCAGGGAAGCCCCGGAAAATTTTTAAAACACATAATTTTCTTATCTCACAGACTGAAGAAGAGTTAAGAAATATAAGGGAATTGTGAGACTGCAGTAGCTTATTCAACATAGCATAAGGATAGTTTTTAATGGCATTTTGTGTAACACACAACTTCTTAATGGGATGATGCTTTGGTTATTTATAAGAAAATTCCACCAGTTTAAGTGATGATGGATAAGCGCTCCTTTTCCAGTGTGTGTGCACACATGTATTGATACAAGCATAAAATACTTTTATTTCAACTGGAATAATCACATTTTGTGCTATAATAATAGCAAAACTTGATTATTTTGATCAGATAGCCATTAAAATAGTTCCTAAGTAGATTGTTTCATAGTGTACGTTTGGGAAGAATTTAGTACTTACCAAACAATAATAAAGTGGTTACGGAATTTGTTTCACTTTTACTAGATAAAGATTACAGTGCATTTTTGTGGCAGGTGTCTTACTTGAATATAGCTGTGCTGTATACTTAATGTCCAGAGCCTCTGAGAGCATAAAAAGGACTCGAGAGTTGAATTGACTTGGGTTCAAATCCACTTGCTGCAGGCTACCAGTAGTGTGATTTAGCCACTAATTTGAATTCAATTTTCTCATTTGTAAAATTGCAGACAATAACATCTAGCTCGTCATCACTGAGCAGGTTATATAAACATGTCTCCTCCAGTACTTTGGTACCAGGAAATGCACGCTCAGTGAACATTTTCTCTCTCTCTCCCCTTCTTTTACTGTTGTGATAATGCCAAGTGTCTTGGCTAAATAAAAAAATGATTGTAAGAGGCCCTTTTATTTAGTGTCATAGATGTTAATTTAAGTTAGGTTTATTTATAAATCTAACTCTTTCCACACCCCCTCAGCTCCCATCATCACTTTTAAGTATAGCCAATATTTTGAATTTCAAGTAATCAGTCCATAATTAAATGGTGTAATAGTCTGTTAAGTTTAGTAACTAGTAGAAAGGGTAGAATATTTCCTTATTTATGAGTTAGAGGAAACTGATTCTAAGATCACATGTAAGTGAACTTATTTCAGAATCACCCTTCTTATGGAAGGTAATTTCAGTATTAGCAGTTATTCCCAGAAATGCAAGGAAAAATTATCTTAAAAGATTTTTGTGTTCTTCTCCTTTTTCATGTTAATCAAGTATATATGTGCATACTCTATTCAGAATTATTTTTCTTTCTAGACTGCTCTTGAAAAAGTTGTTAATTCTTAAGGGAATTGGTGGTTTACTATCTCTCCTTTCCACTTGCCTCTCTGCTAGTTAAAGTTTAGTAGTGCTTGGAACAGAGGAAGAGGAAGTTATCCGGGTGTGATTTAATTGTAATTCTCTGCCCCATTTGTCTCCTGTAGAATGTAGACCATGTCCAGCAGGAACAGAGCCTGCACTTGGGTTTGAATATAAATGGTGGAATGTCCTTCCTGGCAACATGAAAACCTCCTGCTTCAATGTCGGGAATTCAAAGTGTGACGGAATGAATGGTAAGTTCAGAATCAGCCTTCTCAGTGTATTTTGGTGATAGAGACTCTTGGACTCACCTGTGTAAAAACACACTAAATATGGTTATGAGGAACTTCATTCTTAGCATTTGGCTACTTGCCTGTCTTCCCAGACCTCACATAAAAATAGTAAATATGATGTCATAGCCACATGACTGCCCTCTAAGAATATAAACTGTTTTGCATTTTTTTGGAGTCAGTTTTGAAGTAGATGTTGCGAATCACCATTTATGGTTGTTATAAATACCAGAATAGATCACCAAGGGAGGCAATGAAATTTGTGTTGTTTGCCACTTGGAAGAGTCATAGTGTATATATAACACTGTATGAAAGCATTTCTGCCTGGATTGGTTTTCTGGCTCAGCACTGAGCCATGAGGAGGGGTTACATCATCTTAACTCCCCTGGCCTATGAAGTCTATGATCGTGTTTACAAATGTATATGAACCTCACTTACTGAAAACTTGGAAATATGGCAGAGTTCTATAGGACGGTTGCTGAATTTTATTTGTTCTTACATTTTAAGTGCATGGTGAACCTACCACTTAGTTACTCTGCAATATTTGTTGGTCAAATGAATGACAATATCTATGTATGTGGGTTGTTTTTTTTTTTTTTTGGTGGTACGCGGGCCTCTCACTGTTGTGGCCTCTCCCGTTGCGGAGCGCAGGCTCAGCGGCCATGGCTCACGGGCCCAGCCGCTCCGCAGCATGTGGGATCTTCCCGGACCGGGGCACAAACCTGTGTCCCCTGCATTGGCAGGCGGACTCTCAACCACTGCGCCACCAGGGAAGCCTTATGTATGTGTTTTTAAACTTGACACTAGAAATAGGTGTTATAGATACTAGGGTTTTACACTAAAATGTGCCCTTTACTTTTATAAGCTCATTGGCATTTTTTTTAATCAGTTCACTTTTTCTCAGTACTGTATTTTAGGTCATTGTAAAAAAAGAAAAAAAAGCTTTCCAATCACATCTGTTTTAAATCAGCACCTATCTGAAATAAACAAGCTTGGGATGTAGGAAGTGAGATGTACACATGAGTACTCAGGTTGACAAATCGTAGGTCCTTGAATAATTCTGGTGAAACAGATGCGTGAAAAAAAGCCTTTATACATAATGAACGTTATGGAATAGTACTCTTTATCAACTAATAATCCTGCTTCTGGGAATTTATCCTAAGGGAGAAGAAAAAAATAACACAGCAGTAATTACCCGACTATAAGGGTTTATGTTCCAAAAAGATCCTTTGGTTGAACTCTACGTTGAGGAAGTTTAAGACATAGGAAAAACAAGAATGGGAATGTATTGAAAGCATTGATACATTTGTGTGTGTGTGTGCATGTGTGTGTATTCACTTATTAGTGAAGATTATCTGAAACTTTTATTTAGTCTTTTAAAGAAGTTACTCTTAGTCTAACTCTCATGACAGTATTTAATTTAGCCCCTTGCTTACTCATTCACTAGAGGCTGTAATTTAAATTTTTCCTGATTTTCAGAAATGTTCAATTATTAATTTAAAAAGTATACATCTCTGCAATATTTAGTATGTGATATTGAAAGAGCAGACAGTAATGTGAAAAATACAGAGGTAAATGGTGATGTATATTTTTGTGACTGGTGGTACAGTAACCAACCTCGGGAAAAGCAGTGCTCAAAATAATGGGGTCCAAAGCGAGAGGCCCAGGGCGGCCTGTCTCATGAAGTCGTTACTCCATCATGGAATTCAAGTGGATGGGCTCTGACCAACTTGACTGTGTGACTTGCAATACTTTTGAGGTTCTTCGGTCTTGTCAATCTGAATTTACCACACTTGTGGAACAGGTGTGTAGAAGTACATCTTCCTGTACTGGAATTTTGCCCAAGAGGAATTCAGAGTTGTAAACAAATTAGTGTTTATTCATGAAGCTTTCATTGAGCATTACCTATAATACCAAAAATGGAAATAAGCTGAATTCCAGCAGTATGATAATGTTTACAAGAGTTATGCTGTACTAATTGGATGAAATGTTATGTAATCATTAAAAATGACAGCAGATGGAAAACGGATTTGGCAGCGTTTCAAGCATTTTGAATGGTCCCATCCTCCACCTCAATAATTCCACTTCTGGGAATTTATACCAAGGAAACAATGTGGTGTAAAGAAAGAAATTATGCACAAATATGTTAATTTTAGTGTTATTTATGAGAGTCAAAAATATGAGAAAACAAAGTTTTCAACAATGGGGTGTGATTAAATAAAATGATGATATAACCATACAACATATTGTTAGCTCTTTAACACTAGATATAGAAAGGATTTTTAATGGGGAAGTATTTTTGATGTAATGATTATTAGAAAAGTGAGAAGATAATGCTAAATGAAAAACAGAAAGTACAGTAAATTATAAATAAAACCTAAAGTATATTTTTAAGAAAATTATGCACTAGAAAAAGAGAGAAAAGAAACACACTGAAATGTTCAGTCTATCACTTGGGGGTGGGAGGTTTCTGAGAAGTCTGAATTACTTCATTTTTTTCACTTAGTTTACTCTGTTTAATAAATATTCCTCATGTATACACATTGCTTTCAAAATCAGGATAACAGCACAAAATATTTGTTTAAAAATATATTTATTTGACCCAGTAGTTCTTTTACTGGGATTCTTTTCTAGAAAAATACAGAAAAGCTTTACCCAAAATATCTTCATTATAGTGTCACTTCTGCTCACTAAAAGATAAAACAGTCCAAATGGTTACATTGAATGTATGGTCAATAGGAGGTAAGTCCTGTAGTATGAGTGATTTAGTAAATTATGGGAATTAATTACGTCTGTCTACATGATAAACTATTAATTGAGTTATTTAGCATGTTGGTGAAGACTTTATACATAAAAATGCTTATGCAATAATGTTAATTCATAAAACTATGAAACAAAATGTTACCAACAATAAGATCTCAGTTATGTAAAAACATGTATGCATCAAAAAGATAGTGAAAAGAAACACCTCAGAATGTTAACAGTAGTTTTTTCTGAGTGATGAGTTTATAAATAATTTTAGTTTTCATCTTCAGATTTTTCTGTAGCTTTCAAAATTTTATGATAAATATAAATATGATTTCTAAAACAAAAATAAATCTTAAAATAGAAATTGTGGGGCTTCCCTGGTGGCGCAGTGGTAAAGAATCCGCCTGCCAATGCAGGGGACACAGGTTCGAGCCCTGGTCCGGGAAGATCCCACATGCCACGGAGCGACTAAGCCCATGCGCCACAACTACTGAGCCCGCGCTCTAGAGCACATGAGCCACAACTACTGAGCCTGCGTGTCACAACTACTGAAGCCCATGTGCCTAGAGCCCGTGCTCCGCAACAAGAGAAGCCACCGCAATGAGAAGCCCACGCACTGTAATGAAGAGTAGCCCCCGTTTGCTGCAACTAGAGAAAAGCCTGTGCGCAGCAACGAAGATCCATCGCAGCCAAAAATAAATAAATTTATAAAAAAAAATAGAAATTGTGTATAGAAACATGGAGAATGTGGGATTCATTCTGAGGGATACAGCAAAAGACAAAGGTGCTGCCACAATGTATCACAAACTGGGGGGTTTAAAACAACAGAAATTTACCCTCTCACTTTCCAGAGACTAGAAATTTGAAAAGCAGGTATGCGCAGGGTCGTGTTCCTTCCGAAGAAAAGCATCTGTAGGAAGACCCTTCCTTGCGTCTCCTAACTTCTAGTAGCTCCAGGCACTCTGTGGCCTGTGGCAGCATAGCCCGTCTCTGCCTCTGTCTTCACGTGAGCATCTTTTCCTTGTGTCTCTGTGTCTTTACGCGGTGCTCTTCCTGTGTGTCTGTGTCTAAATCTCTCTCTTCTCATAAGGACACCAGTCATACTAAGGCTCACCCTAAGGACCTCATCTTAACTTGATTATATCTGCCAAGACTCTATTTCCAAATAAGGTCCATTCATGTGTACTGGGGATTAGAACGTCAGTATATGTTTCTTGGGAGGGGATACAGTAAAACCTGCAGCAACAGGCAATGTTCAAACATGAGAAATATTTGTTTCCTCTTGCAAGGATGTTGGTCCCCTCCAAACCTCCATGCTTGTCATCCATGTACTCCTTTCTTTTCTTTGGCCTTCTCTGCTGTTCCATTGCCCCACATGCCAGCTGAACACTAGGAAATTATCTTAGAGAAACCTTCGTAAATCCCCCCTTTCTTGGTGTAGAATTCCTCCACGTGGGAATATCCCTCTCCCTGTGACCCCCATCACAAGTTTTCAGTCTCTCTACGCTTAACTGCCTCTCACATGACTTACACTGCAGTGAAGGGCCTGGTGTCCCACTGGGTCAGACTGTTTTGTGGCTGTTCTACTCTTAGCATTAGGAAGTGATAGCTGCTTATCTCTCTTTTCAACCACGTGAACCTTTAGAGAGCAAAAATATTGGCATTTCTCTCTTACTCAGGTAGCTTCGTACATAACTGTTCTTTGAACTAGCTTGATTTATATGTATTTCACATATCACCTTTCTGTGAACCGCTGATGATGACATTTGGAAAATTGCCACATCACCAGTACAGCACTGATATTAATCTCTTTCCCAGTTTCTCTCTTATGCCTGTTCAAGTAGCAGAAGTTGACATTTTCTTTTGGAGGTACAAGTGTCCATGTTAAACATTGCCATTAGTTAATAACCTTGCTCGATGGTGTGTGAGGGCTGCGTCTCCTTTCCTCATTTCATGGTGGCCGTTTCAGCCCATGGCACGCTGATGGTTTCTCTGCAGAAGACAGACCTCACGTCACCTTTTATGTGCATCTCTATTACCTCATACTATTAACAGTTGTTAGCTATGTCTCTCGTAGTCTACTGATTCCATAGTGAGGGTGGACCCAGTCTTGTCTTTCTGTCCCTAAAGTAGGTCATGGTTCGTGGCATTCAGTGAAAGCAAGTTCACTGAGTGAATAAGTGAGTGAATGCAGAACAGGGGTTAAATTAGGGAACAACAATACAAGAAACTCTAGGAAAGAACCTCAGACCCCGCATCTTCATTGAGTAATTTGAAGTTTCTGTTTCCCATTGGTTACCTGAAGACTAGGATGTTTTCATCTTAGTATATCGAAATGGATAAAGACCATCTGTTCTAGTTAAAGAAAAATCATGCCTCATTGAGAAAACTGTTGTTAATTCGACCATTAAATACCTTTGATGCAAAAATATGCATTACTTGATTCTTCCTGGAGAATCATATGCAACGTTTTTATCGGTATCTAGGAGTCTACCTCTGCATGCCGTTTGCACCTGTAATCTAAAATTGGGAATTCTTTTTTTGTGGCCTTATATAAAAAGATTGTTGGAAATCATTACTGAAATTTTTACTGACAAAGATAACCTTTATCATTTCTAGGTTGGGAGGTGGCTGGAGATCATATCCAGAGTGGGGCTGGAGGTTCCGATAATGATTACCTGATCTTAAACTTGCATATCCCAGGATTTAAGTAAGGAAAACCAATTCTGATTCCCTTCTGTAGGAATCTTCATGCCTGTTTCCCTGCAGAAATAGATGAAGTAGGGCTGCCTTTATAAAGTATATTAATATTGTGATGTGCGTAGCAAATAGCAAGCTGTGTAGGATAATGTATTATATTTAAGAATATCTATAGAAACTATAACTGTTCATTGTATATTAATCAGATGAAGCTAGAGTTTTAAAAAATATCCTATCCAAATATTACAAAAAACTGTGACTGTTGGATGCTTAATTCAGAGATCTTAGTCTAAGTCATTTGCAGGAGAATCTCTTGGTTTATTTATTTATTTTTCCTCGCAGTTCTGTCTGTAAAGTAGTATGTTACAAATTGTTTAATCCTTTTAGCCCCCCATGTTGAATTGCCCAGCAGGAGTCTTTTTCTTGCTGTAGGCTGGGTGGCAGCATTTACACCAGGAGATCTGAGCCTATTACCATGGTTGTGTAGACTCCATGCAGCAGTAGACTGCACGGAGAGGAGAGGAGAGCGTGGCTTTCAGCTTAATGAAAAAAGTGATGTAAACTTTTTCTAGATTGTATTCAGAACATGCTGTAAATATCGCAATTTTAATCTGTTAAATAGACCGCCGACATCGATGACGGGAGCCATGGGCTCTGAACTGGGAAGAATAACCTTTGTGTTTGAGACCCTCTGTTCAGCCGACTGTATTCTGTACTTCATGGTGGTAAGTGGAAGAGGGGCTCTCAGAGGTGGATTTCAACGCTTAGCGTTCTCTTTGAAGTGTGACCCTATTTATACAAATTGCGATAAGAATCCCCATTTTTCTTCCCATTTTTAGGGTCTTCCAAAAACATCAAAAAGATATCTAAGGAACTCATTAAACATTATGTGGTGAAGTCCACAAAGGAAGTGTTCATTCCTTGTGGAGAGAACTGAGTGGTGGGGCCTGGGTGACAGACAGAAGCCAGAAAATATTAATCCCCTAGGAAAGTCCTTCAAAAAAAATATGCCACCAGCAGAGTGAAAATTCTCCCCTAGGAACCATTCAGCAATTGAGTCCATCAGGAGGGAAAAGCATGTATTAATAAGTGAGGGCACAAAACACTGGAGGCGGAGAGCTTTGGGAAAAATAACACCCTTCCTTGTTAAGTAAATAAACGTAGACAAAGGATTTTGCTATGTACATGTCATAATTTTGCCCATTTTTTCCTAGATGTCCTATGAATCTCAACTAATAGCTTGAGAAAAAGTGGTAACACAAAGTTTACTTAAGACCCCAGGGAGGTATTAGAAGGTTGTTGGCTAAGACTTTAATGTTATAATTAAGTAGCGACTTCATAGACATGAGTTGTTTTTGCTTTTTTCCAACAGTCCTTTAGTAGCTAGTTAACAGTCCATTAACAGTGTCCTCCATGATATACAAGATATATGGAGATTTAAGTATTTGTTCAGGATTACTAATAGCTTAAATGAAGGCAGACTATTTCGTTCTGAAAAAAAAAGGACTTTGTGGTAGTCAAAGAAGATGAAGACTCTTCAACACGTCTATCTATGACACCACAAATAACCGAGCAGTCTTCAGTTCTCTTAGCTCTCCCTCCTTATTTCTTCAGTGTATTAGTTCCTCTTCATACTGAGTGCCATTACTGACAATTCAGACTCCCATTATCTCTCAGCAATAGTCTCTATCTATTCTTCTCACCCCCATCCTCTCATAAATGCTGTTGTCAAACTTATCTTTATAAACATAAAAACAATAGTAGAGACAGCCACTACAAATCTACCCCGTCACCCTTAGTGGCTTTTTATTGCCTGAGGCAGCGGTTCTCAAAATGTGGTTCCTGGACCAGCATCATCTGGGAACTTGTTAGAAATGCACATTTCTGAGCCCCTTCCTAGTCTTTTTTTTTTTTTTTTTTGCGGTACGCGGGCCTCTCACTGCTGCGGCCTCTCCCGCTGCGGAGCACAGGCTCCGGACACGCAGGCTCAGCGGCCATGGCTCACGGGCCCAGCCGCTCCGCGGCATGTGGGATCTTCCCGGACCGGGGCACGAACCCACGTCCCCTGCATCGGCAGGCGGACTCTCAACCACTGCGCCACCAGGGAAGCACCCCCTTCCTAGTCTTAATGAGACACTCTGGCGATAGGGCCCAGCATTCTGTATTTTAGCAAGCCTTGAGGTTGGTTCTGAAGTGCGGTAAAGTTTGAGAACCAATAGCCTATGAATACACTTAAAATTCCTTAGCATGGCATCCGTATGGCTTTTGTACTCTTTGCTCAGCCTCTGTTACCAAACTGCTGTTTCTGCTCACCCCTCTTTAGACATCCTGAGTTTGTTAGCGGAACACTCTGTACTTTTTCACTTCTCGTGCCTTGGCACACTCTAAGCTAGAATGACTTTCTTCATTTTGCTGTTTTGTCCGGTGAACTCCCGTTCATACTTCGAGCGCAGCTCAAACCTCACCTTTTCTGGGAAGCTTTCTCTTTATTCCTTTAAGTAAAGTTAACCACTCTCTCCAGTGTGCTCCTAAAACCCTTTGAGAAAACCCTACTTTAATTATGTGAATGTATTCATATATGCGTCTCTCTCTGTTGATCTAGCATTCCTGAGGGTAGGGATCATAGATGCTTATTTGGGTACATCAGTCTTAAGAGGTTTTTGCTCGTAGCTGGATCCGTTAGTTTTCTTTACTCTGTGATTTGATTTCTGCATGGCAAGTTTTGAGATATCAGCACCTAAATAACGCATCAAAATGCTTTCAAAATCGTGTAGTGTTTTACAAAGGTAAGGTGGTATTATTTGCAGTAATGCAGTATGTTCCATTTATTATGGGAATCAACATCCAGAAAGTGTTCAGCAAAGCACTGTCTGTATATTATGAGCTCCTTTTAGGAAGCGGCATGTGTGATTATTGGGTTGTTTGGTAATGTGGGGAATTCTGTGACGTATGACAGGCATACTCTGTTGTTCCTGCTTGTGGTGTGAACTCAAGACGCATGTCTTTATAGCGTATCTGATTACTTTATAACATGCTGTCGTCAGCGTTTCTATCATAGAAAGAAAGAGACATGTCTTGAGCCAGGCCACTGTATTATCAACATCTCGGATAACTAACAAAAACCTATCCAGATTCCTAAGTCATCTATTAGGGTTTCTGCAGGGAAGACTAATTAGAGAATTCAGAGTTAGTCTTGGTTTTTCATTTCAAATAAATTAGATGTGTATTACATTATTTGCTTTACTTGTTGCATTTGCTTTCTGACCATGTTAATGACATAATATTGGTGGAATGTCACACATTTATATAATATTCTAAATATTGAATTTAGCTAAGGAAATCAGAAATAAGATGTTACACAAATTAATCTTTTTGGAATTCAAGTATAAGCAAAAGAAGATTACATGAACATAAAATAACGTTCTAGTTAATCTGCACTGGAAATTGCAAGTATGATTCAGGGAGAATTTAGAATTCCTGTGTGAAAGCCGCCTATCGGAATCCCTCAAGGGAAAAGATAAAAGATGGAAAGAAAGCCTTGTCATTTTATGAGGATCCTAGAAGTTTACTGTCAGAAGTTGGAGGAATTATGTTTCCCTTTCTGCATATATTTCCTAAGCTGGAGTCATACACATACACACACACACCACCCCTCCCTCCAACAGAAAAATTCCTTAAACATAACTATGATTTGAGACCTCTTTCACATTGTATTGATGACGTGGTTGATACATTGTTATTACTCAGCTAGTAAGTGCTTGTGTAGACTTGAAGGGAAGTTTTGGAGAGTTTTAGGGTTACATGCTCTGCAGATAAATATTCATGAACGCTGTAGGGTTTTCTGTAAATACAAACATATGACTGTAATGTATATACATGTATATTAATACTGAGTTGGTGGTTTTTTGTATGTATTTTTTTCTACTATATTTTAGGATATTAATAGAAAAAGTACCAACGTGGTCGAATCATGGGGTGGAACCAAAGAAAAACAAGCTTACACCCATGTCATCTTCAAGAATGCCACATTTACATTTACGTGGGCCTTTCAGAGGACCAATCAGGGTCAAGATGTAAGTTCCAAGCACTTAAAGAAAATCAAAGCCACAAAGATGATCCTCCCTGTGGAGATTTGTACAAAGTGGTCCCTCACATCTCCTGGAGGAAAAGGCTTAGCTTTTTCCTGATGTAGAATCAATCATTTGGTTACGGAGCAGATTGGTATAAAAATGGTATTTTTGGGGGGTTTGTGTTTTGAGAGCAAGAATGTATGAAATGGAATAACACAATGTATCTTCGAATTGTTCTATACTTCGAACAGATATAGTTCGTAAAAGCTTAAGAGAAAGAAAATCTTATTTTGTAGTTATTTAAAAACTTACTTTTAAAGCTTTCTGAGACTTCGGGAAGGTGGTGACTTTCTTCCCCTTGGTCTGAAAGATCTGACGTTTGTCCAGGAGGCATTATCTGATGTTGGTTTATTACTTCATACGGTAACGACTGTCTCCTTTTATAGCTTGGCGAGTGTGTACGTGCACACTGTTGGGTTAACACACAGAACTATTCTATTTTACTTTCCGTGGTAGAATAGACCTTAATCCTCCCCTAAATATTTTCCATTATATGCTTCAATTACATGTTATTGTGGATCTCCATTGCTGTGGCGTTCCCAGGGTGAGAACAAGGTAAATCACGGTTTAAGACGCTGCCTTAACATGGTGGCAAATGTAGAGCATTTTCTCTTTTCAGGTTTTCACTGGGGAACCCATTCCCCAGGTTTCACTTGACTCCAGTTGCTCTTTTATGAGCGCTCGGATTCCCACCTTGTGGGGTGTGAACATGCTGTGCAAGGCTTCCTTGCCTCCCTTTAGTCTTTGCCCCAGACAGAAAGCATTAAGAGGCGGCGCTCTACTGACACAGTGGTGCTCACTGCTTGATGAAAACTAGACCTTAATTGACTCAGTGTCACAAGAAAGAAAAGTATAGTAAGACCCAGGTTTTTACTCTCTGTTATGCATCCGGTAGAAATCAAAGTATGTTGGTTAAGGAAAGTGCTAGAGGAGGAGGAAAAAAGCCTAAAGAAGTGATGTGATTGCACCACTATCACACAGTTAGTGCTTGGGTGAGGAGTTTTTAATCCCCGGTCCAAGTCTTTTCCACATTGCCACAGTGCAAACAACCTATTGTATCATGACATTTAGGCTTACGTCTGAATAAACAGTGATGGGAGCTAAGGTTGTTCTTTTGTTAAATCATATTGGTTTTACCAGACATCAAGTCTATACATATGCCTGAATTTGTACCCATTATGACATAATTTCATGGCCAAATTCCTGGAACTCCATTACTGCGGAAATGAGTTTCTAGTGTTAAGGTTTAAAATATTTTTAAAAAGTACCGAAAAGGAATACTATTAATCCACTGGCTGGGACACTTTGCTTAGTTATTTTGGTGATACGAACATAAAACAATCTGGTTGTGCAACTAAGCGCCAAGGCAGAAGTCATTACTTTCTGCTCTCTTTTTAGAATAGACGGTTCATCAATGACATGGTGAAGATTTATTCTATCACTGCCGCTAATGCAGTTGATGGGGTGGCGTCCTCGTGCCGTGCCTGTGCCCTCGGTTCTGAACAGTTGGGCTCATCGTGTGTCCCCTGCCCCCCAGGCCACTACATTGAGAAAGAAACCAACCAGTGCAAGGAGTGTCCGCCTGACACCTACCTGTCCATACATCAGGTCTATGGCAAGGAGGCTTGTATTCTATGTGGGCCTGGGAGTAGAAGCACTCAGGTAAGTGGGTCTGTATTTCACTTATCCCCAGGAAAGCATATTTTAATAGACAAACCCAGAGGTTCCTCTTAATGTTTCTCCAGGAACTATGAAGTTGCTATTTTTATTTATGAATGGCTTTTTCATTCCCTTTCTTATTTTACGTCATCTTACATCTGTTGAGCACTTAATATGTGCCATGAAAGGGCTAATTACCGGGGGCATAAAATATTAAGAAGAGGATCCAAAAAAGAATGCTTTCCAAAAATATTAAAACTGATTTCTTGTGTATTCCATTAAGGTAGAGCAAGTAAGGTGTCTCACTATATGTAGGCTGTAGGCGTATGTGGAGAACAGCAAGAATATCTCATAACATTTTAAGGGTAAAGATGGATGCTGTATTATGAGTGAAGGAAAAAGTAGTTTAATGTCTGTTGAAACTGGCATAACAGGACATTTTAGCTGTTTATTAAAATACCTTTCTATAAGAAACTAATCTTAGAATAACTTTACTCCAGTAAAAAATTCGAACACTTCTGAACTTTGCGTAGAGAAATCTAGAGTTCAGACATTTTCTATATTAGTGTGGTAAAATATACCATAACTAAGACAAGATTACTGAAATAGTTTTTAAACCTAGAACTTTCTGGAAACACATTTTTTCATAGCAGCTGATGCTTTCTTTCCTGCCGTATTGTTTTCGCTTTGTTTTGTTTTGTTTTTTACATTTCTTAATCTTTAATCAAAGGACCACTCAGTTTGCTACAGTGACTGCTTTTTCTACTATGAAAAAGAAAATCAGAGTTTGCACTATGACTTCAGCAACCTCAGCAGTGTGGGCTCCTTAATGAATGGTCCCAGCTTTACCTCCAAAGGAACAAAATACTTCCATTTCTTCAATATCAGTCTATGTGGGCATGAGGTGAGTTCTGGCTGGCAGGGTGAGACGGAGCTATGTTTCAGCTCTGACTGAGTTATTTTCTGTGTTGATGGACCAGTAAAATCTCTATGGAAGCTAACAACCAAATGTCAGAAACTGAGCTGTGACAGCTTAAATCCTCTGTTGCTTCCTAGCACGTTGGCAGTTTTCTCCACCAGGGGCAACCTTGTCTGGTTCTCAGTCCATCAAAGCACTTATCCAGTCAGTTGAACTCCCAAAGCTTGGAGCTACGGAGCAAGGGCTTTGAGGATCTTTCATTTTTGTAAAAGTGGGTCAGGCTTGTCAGTCCCACCTATTTTTTAGGCAGGAAGTTAAGGTTTGAGAAAATTTGACTGTTGCTTATATGGTCAAGTTTGTGTTTTAAAAAGAAAGGACTTTCCAGAGGAAGTTTGTCCAAAAATAAAAAGGACGCAAGCAGGGCACAAGTGCCAGTTGATAAGGTAGCCTCTGCTAATAAATAATGGGATTTAATTTTCTTTGGCAAGAAGCAGAACGTGAATGGATACTCGTAATGGGAGAGTTACAGGACTGCGTGTCCAATATTTTTGTGGGCATAGAAGGTCGGGGTTGAGGTGTATGTGTGTGTATTCCCCGTTAGCAAAGGTGAAAATATACTGAGGCCTTTCCTCCGTGTCTCTTTCCGTTTTAACTCCTATGTCTCTAATGGTCTCCGTTATGAAATGCTGTGCCAAAGGTTGTGCAAGGGAAATAAAAAGACGTCTCATGGCTACAGAAGTTCTCAAAGAAAAGATCTATACATTTTACATGGTATGACATTTGTCCTGTCCTGATTTTACATGGGGTGATCCAGCACACTCACCCAATTGATCACTCACTCGGTTCACTCAATTAAAAAAAAAATTAAATGCCTGTTGGGTTAAATGCTGTGTAAAGCAGTGAATAAGATTAATTCCACTGTATATCACACTTCTTGTCAGTCTCATTCCTGTGTTACCACTGTCTTTGCTTTCCTCTTCTCTCTTCTGTCTTCCTTCTCCTTTTTTCCTCTTTATTCGCATTCCTTTCCTCTTCCTGTTGTTTTCCTCTTCTTTTCCTCAGTAGAGTCTCTCTGCTCTTTTTCCTTGTTCTTCTCTTATGACGTCAAGAGTTTAATTTAAGCTTAGCAACAATATGTTGCACCTGTAATGCGGTGAGCAGGCTTGGTGGTGGGAGAACATTTTATAGGTTAGGATTGCTCGCTGCATTAAGGAAGAGAAATCTTTGTTCTTTTCTTTGTGCCCATCTGTGCACACTCTACATCTGAGACTAATAAAACAGTGTTTCTGTTTTTCGTTATATATTTCTTCATAGAAATTGTAGAGTAAGGTATAGTCCTTTGCAGTGGGACTGTAGTATATTTAGACATACCATATTAAAAAAAAATAAGAGTCAAACCATTTTATAAGTTATATCTTCTCACCACCCTCCAAATGATTAGAAAAGTAAGCTCCTGGGCTTCCCTGGTGGCGCAGTGGTTGAGAGTCCGCCTGCCGATGCAGGGGACACGGGCTCGTGCCCCAGTCCGGGAAGATCCCACATGCCGCGGAGCGGCTGGGCCCGTGAGCCGTGGC